CTCATCTGCATCTTTCCTCCGGGCAGGAAAAGTATCTTTCAGTCTATATGGAAATCAACAGGCGGTCTGGACTGGAGACTTCATCATTTCTGTCATGATCGGTTGCCTCAGTAAAATCAACGAGCCCAGAGTCACTGCTCGTATCGCCTCCAGCATGCAGACCTCGTGAAAGGTGCCTACCGACCTGTCGGTGTTGTTCCGATTAGCTGCTGATCTCAGGTGAACTACTGCAAGTACAGCATAAGAAGCATCTACCATGTGTAGATGATGATGGTGATGCTCGAGTTGATATGGCGTCGTTGAAAAGAGACGAGGATGAGAGTACCACTACTACGAAGTGTAATATGTCTGCTTAGGAATATGCACTCTGAATTCTATTGGTGTTTCAGGTGGCTCCGACAGTGAACTGGATGAGAGGAGCAGTCCTCGGCGCACTACGAAGGTTACGCCCAGGTCAGAAACCACCCACATCTTATTCCTAGATCATTTTTTCAAGCATACGTAATTCATTCTGATATGGTGTAGTAGTAGAAAATCGGTCTGTCTCACACAAGGACGTCGGTTCGGAACACACCGAGCTTGCTTTTCGATATCTGTGTCTTTTCAGCCTGCCAAGATCGCCATCGACATCGGTAACATCAAATCGGTTTTCTGCCATCGCCCTGAAGTCTGCAGCAGTTCGGCCGCACTTTAAGCGTTACATATTAAAGTCTTTTTATAAAACAGCAAGCCTCTTCGCCAGTGCTATGGAATGTGTGGCGATCCTTGCTGGTAGTAGTAGTAGTAGTAGCAGTAGTAGTATGATAATAATGAGTTCGATGATCGAAGCCGATTTTCTCGATTCCGTGTAGATCTTCCTCCAGCCCTCGTATCAGCATGCTACCTTTTCGGAGTCCACTTCGGTCTGGAATTCCAAATCCGAGACGATATGCTCGATGTCGAGATGGACGTTGAAGGCAGCTCAGGAAGTCTCGGGAAACCAAAAGGAACAGACTTGCTCAACGGTCAAGCAACAGCACCGGTAGGCAGCAGCCTTGCGGTATCGTGGGCGATTTGGAGTTGTACTATTGTCAGTTCCTTTTCGCATGTGACGACGATCCGTCCTTGTTACCCTTGGTGGAGCGCGGGTTTAAGGGGAAGGGAGATGCAGAGATGGCCTTAGAGGCATTGCAGAGAAATGGGAAAGCATTACAACGAGCGAAACTGCTCGTGGGATATCACGCTTCTAAAGTAACGGGTGCGAGAGTCGAACTGGGGACCTTTCGAGTGATAGACATTGGTTGATACCGATAGACTAATATTTCGCTGAGTGATTTTTTCAGGCGATAGGCTGCTTACTCCAACTTCCCGACTGTGATGCTCGACAAGCGTTGATTGATCTTACTAGCAGCTACGCTGCCCGTACTTCGTAGTTCTTACTTTTCCTGCGATCATTGCCACACTTGTTGTACTAACGTTCTCTACAGTGGGATAGGAGTATGTTTCCGATCAGTATACAACGTTTAAGCGCACAGTGACGATCTATATTTAATTTACTTCCTAGTTGCAGATGCGACGATGGTTGGTTTGTGCT